TAATATAGCATCCAAAGCAAAGTTCAATGCATCTATTTCTATAAAGAATGCTTTGAAAAACTCAATATGATACAAAATTGGTACAGAAAAAAAGGCTATCTTTAAAGCTTCAAATACTACTTCTGCTTCTTAATTCCACTAAAGTTTGTCTTTACAAGTCAAATGTATAAGTACAGCTACAGCGCAAGAGAAGTCTTTAATAAAAATCTGATAGTATTTGGCAAATTCCAAAAAATATTGAACATCTCATATCGTTTTTGAAATCTCTCAATCCATAATAATTTGAACTTTCTTAGGATCTATCATAAGTCCATCATTTGAAATAATGTAATCTAAAAAGTCAACTTGAGTAGTATACAATACTTACTTTTCTATCTTGACATAGAGTCCAATATTTCTTAATTTTTGTAATAAATGATAAGTATGAAGATCATATTCTTTTGTATTCTTAGAATAGATTAAGATATTGTTTAGATAATAAATAACAAAATCGTCCAAAAACTCTCAAAAAATATCATTCATAAGATGTTAAAAAGTTGCAAGTGCATTTGTAAGTCCAAAAGGCATGACATTATATTCAAAATGTCTATACCTGGTTCAAAATGTAGTCTTCCATTTATCTTTTTTTTTAATGCACACTAGATTGTATGTTCCTCATAGATCTATTTTTATATAGATCTTAGTTTGATTCAACTGATCTAGAAGTCCATATATTAAAGATAGTGGATACCTATTCTTGATGGTAATCTTGTTGAGTCCTTGATAATCAACACACATCTGCAATGATCTATTTTTCTTTCTTTATAAATAAAATTGAGGCACTTTTTGGAGATTTGAAATAGCATATGATGTTCTTCACTAGATTCTCTTCAATATATTTCTTTAGTTTAGCTAACTCATTTTGTGATAAATTATAAATTTTTTCAAACAACAGTTGAATTATTTCTTAAAGGTCAATTGAATAATCATAGGGATGATGTTCTCAAAGAATATCTATTTTTTTTTATTCAAATACATCTTAAAATTCTTGATATTGGCTTGGAATGCCACTTGAAGTTTTTGTACCATTAAAAATGAGTATGGTATAAATAACACAAGGTGATCTTTTTTTATAGCATACAAGAAAGCTCTTGCACCTACAAATATAGATTTAATTATACTAGACTTGTAATTTCTTACTTCATTAATTACATGCTTAGTTATGCTTTTAAAAAAATTAAGAGTACAAGAAATTCAATCTACTTGAGGATTGTATTTTTCTAACTAGGATATGCCTAAAATAATTAGATTAGAGGGAGATTCAATGATATTAAATACAACAAATCTACTATGGTAATTTTTTATTACTTCTATAGGAAGGATTTTGTGAGTAACATCTCCAGAAGACAACGGACGACCATCTATAGCTTCTACATGAACAAGTTTAGTTTTCTTCACTAAAGATATGCTAAGTCTTTTAGCAAATTCTTCATCTATAAAATATGTTGATGCTCTTAAATCTAAAAGACAAAGACTTTATAATATTTAGGTCCTAAAATAATATTTGATATAAAATAAAAAAAAAAAGGTTCTAAGGAGAGAATAGGACCTACATTAGGTATTGTATAAGGTTCCAATTGCATGGTCCCTATTATAGCTAGACAAACTTGTTTTCTAATATATTATCTTTTTGATATTTTTACTTTTTATTTTATAATTTTGTTGCATCTTTGAATAATATTGAGTAATGTACTTAGATTCTCAACAATATAAGCACAATCCTTCTTGACAATGATGAATCTTTTCTTACTCAGTAAGAGGTTTAAAATGTATTACATTAATTTGCATATCCTCTACTTTTGAATGTATGTGTTGATGAAGCATTGATATTACTATTGAATTATAGTAATATTGAGGGTCACTTATCCAACTCTTAAATCAAAATCTAAAAAGTTGATTATCATACTTTACAGCAAAGTCAATCACTTGATTCAATGTTAGAGAATTAGATAAGTTAAGCATCAATTTTTTTATATCATATTGTAAACTATAAAAAAATTGACCAATAAGTGCAATATCATCCCATTTGATATCAATTATAAGTTTTCAAAATTGTAAAGCATATAATATTATAAATTCATTGCTTTGTTGCAAAATATGGATCTTGTTGCTTGCAACACAAGTTGTATCATGTTTTCCATACATGGATTGAAACTCCACCAAAAAAGCCTCCAAATTATCCAATATTAAATCTTGTTGTTTAAGAAAAGATGAAAACCATGATAATATTGAATCTGAAAGAAGTATACTAATAAATTTAACTTGTGATCTTAGAGTTGGATAGCTTTGGAGTTGAAATTCAATCACAAGTTATATTTAATTGATAAACCCTCAAAATTTAGATCTTGTACTATCAAACTTCTTAAGTAGGATAACTTTTGGTTCTCTAATACTAAAAGGATGTTCCACTCTAGGAAAAGGGATGTGATTTGGTATAGATGTTGAAGTGGCTCCAATTATATCCATATCTTTATTTCTTGCTATTTTTGTTGCTTCAAGTGGTGATAAATTGAATTAATATATTACAAGCATCAACTCTCTAAATTACTCTTGTATATGTATCATTGCACTTTTTATTTCAAGAAGCTCTGCCATGATGACACTTAAAAAAAAAATGTCTAATATCCTTTAAGACAAGGAGAAGGGAGGACTTGAGAACAAAGAAGATACTAAGAACAATATTAGTTTAGAAGAGGGTAATCCGCAACTTCTAATACGCTTATATCTTATCAAGATAAAAAAATAATCCACTCTTAATCAAGAAAAAATAAAGCTATAATATTATAAGTATACTCTTGTTAATCTATCAAGGACATAAACTAAAAGAAGATGCATAAATTTAAGAAATCTATTTAAAAAGAAAAGTCACAAAATACAAATAAAGTAGTATGTATATTAAAAAAAAAAACTAGAATGGCTATTGCTAAAAGATAAGGAAATTAGAAACTCTTGAATCTAGATTAGAAGTAAGAAAGGAATTGGAAAGAGTAAAATAAGCATCATTCTTGCCTCTATATATACAATCTACTTAGGATCTATGTATCAACATTCTATAGGACCTCCAAAAACGTGTTTACTTTGCATGACATGTCTCTTGACTAGCAAGGCAAGTTTTCTATATGGCCACCATATAATTAGCTTGTTCCACAAGCTATCAATACATGTGGCATATGGATAGTTTGTTGACTAAGTTTCTAACCTACTAATCAATTACAAATATATATAAAGTCAAAACAATGTTTAGAGAGCTTTTAGGAAGTTTCTTTAAAAGGTATTATGAAATTAATGTACTTTTACCTAATTCTACCTATCTAGGTAAGAATTACAATACGTATATATTTGTGATATCTTTTGCTTTAAAAGACACATCCAACCACACATTTCAATTAAATGCTATACTTATAAATCAAAAAAGATATTCTATTTAAAATTTTAAAAAATCCAATATCAAATACAAAGATAAATTAATTGTAGCATAGAGCATGTTATAAAATCTAGGACCTATAATGAAGCAATTTAATATAAAAATTGATAAAAAGAAATTCAATAAGAAATTAAATCAACTCAAAAAAAAATAAGGCATGGAGATTAATCAACTTATTAGAAAGAAAGCACCTCATATCTATAGAGTGGATCTTTAAATTCAAGCTACGTTTAAATGAAAACATAGAAAAGTTGAAGGCTTGTATTTTTACCTAAAGATATGACTAAAAAGAAGATATTGACTTCTTCAAAATAAATAAATAAATAAATAAATAATATAATTATATTATAACCATGGCAGCAAGAAAACAATAGAAATTACAACATTTGGATGTCAAAATAATATTTCTAAATGGAAAGTTGGAAGAAGAAGTCTATATAATCTTATTTCCAAGATTTAAAGAACCAAGATGTTACAACAAAGTGCATAAATTTAAAAGAGCATTTTATAGCTGAAAGCAAATTCTTCAAGCTTGGTACAATAGAATTGACATGTACCTACAAAATTAACAATTCTTAAAGAACAATGAAGATCCAAACATATATTTCATAATATAAAATGATAAATATACTATCATATTAATTTATGTTAATAACATTATAGTAACAAGAAACAATACAAAATGCATTCAACAACTTACAAAAAAATTGATGACCACATTTGAGATAACTAATTTTAGTGATGCAAAATTGTACCTCAAAGTTGAGCTATATCAACTCCCAACTAAAATTAGTTGAGCTATATCAAACTCAAGATGGCATTTACTTTCACAAGTGGAGGTACATACAAACACTCCTATACCGAATTGTAAGGCTTCCTCATTGCCCATGAATTCCAAAAATCAACATAATATAATAAAAAACTAACACTTCTGAAGTTGATCCTAAATTCTATCAAAGTTTAGTTGGAGGACTATTATATGCTAGCATCAACCCCTATGATATTCTATTTGCAGTCGAGAATGTATCACGATACATGACAAGACCTCAACTTGCACATCTCATTTTTGCCAAAAAAATCTTGAGATTCTTAAGAGTACCATGGACTACGGAATTTTCTACCCTACTGATGACAAAATAGGGTTGCACACATTCGTTGACTCGGACAAGGCAGGGGACATTGACTCACGAAGATCCACGTTAGGGGTCCTGTACAAGTTTTGATCCTTGCCAATTTCTTGGTCAAGCAAACTCCAATCAAATACTACGCTCTTCTACACAAAAGCACAATATTGTGTTTTATCAAAAGCTCTTAGCAACATTACATATTTTTGAAGATTGCTGAAAGAACTGAAAATGGATGACAAAGGACCAACGCCACTGCTGTGTGACAACATGAGCAGCATATGACTTGTTAGAAATCCAGTTATGCATCAACGGACAAAACACATAGAGTTGAACCATCACTATCTTTGCAACAAGCAACAAGACGGCACTATCAATGTAAGTTATGTACCCACATACAATCAACACACAGATTTGTTCACAAAAGCATTGGGACCAGCCAATTTTATTTACAAAGAAAATGCTGGATTGAAGAAAATCCTAGCCTAGTTATACAAATCCGAAACTAGAATGCAAATTGAACTTAGCTTTTTTGTTGCACAATTTTTTTGCTTCTCCACGCTCATTGAATTTCTTATATTCTGCACCCCGGTAACGCTAAACTTGAACTCTGCATTCTGACCATGACGTGAACACCCCTGTAGAGTACCCTTTACGAACTGTGTAATACCTGACTAGAGACCTCTCTGAAACTAACCCTGAAATCCCCTATGATCCATTAGAACGAGAACCTACCACCCTAACTGTATTACTCACACCTCCTCTCACAAAGCACTCATGCGACAGCACCAATCCTACCCAACACAAAGTTGATGCATAAATTAACTTGCACAATCGACGGCAAACGGCCATCGCCAACTACACCGCAAGCGCGAGGAGCTGAACAAAAGACAATACAACAAACCAACATCGAATTAGCGCACAAGAATTGCTCTTATATTTTTTGCGCCATCAAAAAGTGACAAAGCGAAACGCAGGTTGAGGAGAAATGTTGATGACATACAACCTGCGCCGCTGTCGTCGACTGATATCCAGTCCAACTCCTCGTTATCATATGGTCCACGTCACGTCATAGGCCAATAGTTACCATGTGCTCGGAGTTACTGCGACCATTAACTTAGCCTGTATATAACACTTGTACAAAAATAAACTTCTAACTTGAGTTGTATCCGCTGCACAAACTACACACAAGACAAACCACCCAGTCCATCTCCATCTACCTCTGCAAGTGCTGCTTTATGAAGCGACGCGACCCTGCAGCCTGAACACGGTGACCCTCGTCCTCGAGGCTTGGATGAGCACAGATCTGGCAGCTACTGGAGCTGCAAATCTTGCATCGAGGTCGTCATCGTGTGCCGACTAGTCGCAGTAACACTAAATCTGGTCTAGCGAGTAAAGGATCACGCCGTTTCGTCCCCCGGAGATCGCTGTCAGTCACGATCTGGGAAGAAAGACTTCCGTGTCTAGACAGTCGGCGTTGCAGTGGCCCTGGTCGTCGAGAGGAGACGACCCCAGTCTCTGGCCCCGGCACCCACCAGGCGAGCTTGGTGCAGGGAACCCAATCTCTACATCGCCTTCACTTGCTCCTGTTTGTGTAGAATCCAAAGATCGCTGCAGAATAAAACAGAGTGGAGAAAACAAACCTTGATCTCGATGCGGTGTTTGGCCGGCGTGCATTTTCATGTGACTAATTTTGCAAATGTCCCCCATTACACAGTCTTTGCTGCATCGATGTCCAAGATGGTGAGATTCTTGCTGCTTTCAAGGGCACATTCTGTTGAATCTCAACTGAGCTTGTATTTGGATTTGCATCCACTAACCACAAAAATAAATGGCGACTTATTTGTCTCATTCTTGTATTGTATTATCCCAGATCTTTTTTGTTGCCCATATTGTGCAATATTCGCAGCTAACAATTTGCTTTAAATTATGAATTGATGCGGTTCAAAATTGTTCCCTTTGGAAAATGTAGCAAAGAATGGTGGTAATTCTTTAGTACAGAAAGTATTGGTATGCATGGCTATACAGAGTGTTTTACACATGTTTTTATAATAGGTTACAAATGAAGCATATGTCTTTACTTCTTCAGTATATATATATATATATATATATGGGTGCATTGCACATTTTATAAAGACATTCTTAGAGAGGTGCGCCGACCACTAAAGGGGCAACTACTAAGGCCAAACATAAGGGCATTAACTACGAGAGGTGCCAAATATTAACCAATTTACTCATGTGAAGTGTGTTTTTTTGGTTACCTACAATAAAAATTCATGCGTGGTGCTGACTAATTCAATCATGTTTGAAAATAATTAATGCAAGAATAAATGGCACTAATTATTCTTGAAACCAGTCAATAAATCGTTGATCAATATGACGTTTGCTTTTGAAAAGCTCAAAATCATTAAAAGTTGGCACTATGTTTATCGGCATAAAATAAAATCTCTAAGCATTTGACTTGTAATTTTTTTAATTTTATTTTCAAAAATAAAACTTTCAAAATTTACTGGCGACTGTAACAATTATGAAATCGGAGAAAGGAAGGGGTCAGGAGTAGCAGCAATGTTTCAAAACACATTGGTCAGTTGGACAAGTAAGGATTACTCTTTGTTTTATAGTTTTAGAATGGCACATCCAGGCATGAGAATTTCCAGGCTGTGAGGCCCACTTCACATGAAGCAATCTGCGGTGCCAATGTCCAGTGTGTTGCGATCAAAGCAGAACTTGTGGCCACACAGAGCTCCACCAACTCCAACACCCGTTGAACGAAGACGGAAAGTATCTTTGTAGCGTATCTTTGTCGTGTGCCTCAGTTTCTGAAGAGGTAGTCGACGATGGGTCCTTTACCTTTGCATCATATTAGGGCAACTTCTATTAGTTCAGACCTCAGTTGTGGTCGAAACCCACGAGAAGTTAAGCAGTCTTGGCAGATACCAGCATTTCAGGAAACTCTGCACGGTGGGGATTAGAAGTAACGATTCTCAACTTCTCATTTGCTTGGGAGTCTAATTTTGGTCTGCTTCCAGCAATTCGACCTATGGCTTTGGATATCCCACTGCTTGGAACTGCTTGTTGATCCCAAGTGTCCTCATTCATCCAGGAGAGGATGGTGTTGTCACGTTGACTGAAGCCCTGGATCCGGGGACCTGAAAATGGTGCATGCGGAGAATGGTCCACGGTTAGACATAAAGATACAAGCGCCAGGGAATTTGCATGGGACACAGAGGTATCTAACTTTAACCATCGATGTTGCCAAACAGCAATTAATCAGAAACGAGCACCAGTAACAGAAAAGTGTATTTTATATGGAGTGCCCTAACTTCGTGACGGGATGCAGCGCGTCGCCCTCGTGGATTTTCCAGAAAGTGCTCACCACTTCCGCACCAGCGTCTCCAGGACCTGCTGCTGACATGGAGGGCAGTGATCGAGTGGATTCCATGGTGGGGGCAACGCTCCCTTAACAGCGGCGAACGGTGGGATCCACGTTCAACAAACTCACGATTCGCCGCCTCCACTCAATAGCCGCACCCGAGCCTCTTGTCTCCGCTTGCCTCCACCCGGGACTCTAGATGTAAAGCGGAGTCCTCTAATAAGTAACCCCCCCGTCTCCCGCGTTCAGTATCTGTCTCGATCTCCTTGCAATACTTGAAACCTTGCATCTGGCTGTTAGACTGCATTCATTTTGGAGCGCCAACGCCGTGCGGTAAGAGTTCAGCTTTACATTACATATCAGTACTGTTTGTCTCGCAATTTGGAAGATGCGCAGGATGTAATGACATCCTGGGGCCCAGAATTTGCACACCTGCTGTCACAGATATTCATAATTCAAACGGAATGGGAAGTCAGAAGTTTGAATTATGAGTGATGTTCCGCTGGAAATTGTTGATTGAGCCTTGGACAGTTGGTTACCAGTCTCTGTGGTCAAATGTAGGCCTGCCGTCATACTGGTCACCTTCAAAGAGTCCGCATCTAGTTATTGTGGGGAGCAATGTAGGGAGAGGTCGTTGTGTTTAAGCAACTGCAGAGTGGTTTAGCAATATCAGTTGTTTGTGTTCGGTTATGAGTAGATAGGTGATAAAGGTGGTAGCGTGGTAGGAGCCAAATCGCGTTTCCTGGTAGATATGCTCCCCTTTTGTCTTTTGGTATTCAGAGATTGAACGTGCTCCCGATCAATCAAAACAGGTTTGGCTTCCCTTTTTAGCTAAATCGAGCCATGTCCTTGTGCAGAACCAAACAATGGCCTCCTCTCGCATGCTTTACCTGATCCTCGTGGCCACTGTCGCGACCTTGGGAGTCGCAAGCTGTGTCGAAGGACAGGTTCTATTCAGCACACTGCCTAAGTCGTTGGTGGTGACTGCTGCTCTTCCCGATGGCAAACCCATAGGAGGTAAACGCGATCATCTCACTCCGCACTTTATCAGTTCTGCTGAGCTGCAATCCCAAGCTGCTGAGCCTCTGCCTAAATCGTATGTCTCGGTGTTTGTACTTCTGAAATGGACGATCATTTCGTATTGGTAGTGCAGAGATTAAACCTACTAGGTAATGTTCATTGTGCCCACTTCTCATTTTCTATGGTTTTGCATTCCCAATGCTCGGAATGGGGGCTCTGCCTGCGTGATAGTTTCTCAACTAAATGTTTCATGATTGGCAGAGGTGAAGACTGGGGAGGACTCAATTTTGGTGAAATGGACAGTGAACTCAACCGCATCAGTTGATGCCGTCAAGCTCAAGACCAAGCTATGCTTTGCTTCTGAAAGTCAGGTTCTGCGAGGATGGCGGGCCACTAACGACGACTTGAAGAAGGACAAGACCTGCTTATATGACATCGCCACACAGGATTTCTCGAGAACTGGAGGAGAAACTACCTACAAACTTTCCAAGTCTATCCCCGGTGCCAAATACTTCGTTCGCGCATACGCAATCAACGCTGAAGGCAAACAGGTTGCCACCGGCCAAACCAGCCCTAACAAGGTCGCCAACACCTTCACAGTCATCCCGATCAGCGGTCGCAGTACCAGTATTGATATCGCCGTTGGAGTGCTTTCCATTTTCTCAGTTTCGGCACTCTTCGGGTTCTTCATCTTCGAGAGCATTTACTTGAAGAGGAAAAAGGCCGTGTAGTTATATACGTGATTTTCCTATACACATCGTAGAGTGAAAGCGGCATGGAACTTACAGAGAGGACAGACACAGTAAGATGAACTTGCCACTCAAATTATGTTTGGCTATTTGTTATAGGTTTGCTCTGTAAGTCATTCCATTGCGGTAGACAAAAAAAAGAAAAAAAGAAGTAAAGGGATTCATCACTAAAGAGTTGTAAACGAATTCAACTCTTTCACAGGGGTGGCTGAATTTTGCTGAAAACTGGTGTACAGATGGAGTCAAGGTAGAGTTAGACCATATTAAGAAATTCATTATTTGTACCAATTAGAGTAATGTGGAAATATAGAAGACTTCTGAATGGGCACGCATGCTCTTACGATTTGTAAGTGACCATCTTACTCATGAAATATTGATAATTTGAGGGCAAAATACTGACGTTCCATTGTCTTCGCTCGTTGAGCAGAATGAAATACCTCTCATGGAACAGTACACTTCTGGTACCACAACGATTCCTTATGTGCAGTGTATCTCGAAGAATAACGTGACCGGATCCGTTGCGATTGTTCTGACTACTCTCAGCGTGACTTCATCAGCTAGAGCAATCGAACAAGTCGAGGTTGGGTTGTGATCATTAACCAACTATGCCGGATGCTTCGATTTGTGGGTCATCAGATAGCTCCATGCTGAATTAGCAGCGAATGCTTTAGTTTCACATTAACAAAATCCACTTGATTATTTATTGTGCGGGAGCTTCTCCCTGTTGCAATCAATTACTTCACCTCCGTGTGTACAATTTGCTGTAAAAACCCTAGCATTGAGATCAAGTGCTAGTGGAGGAACAGGCTCATTCAGACAGCTGCTGCGCCCGGGAACTCCGCGAGTGTGTCTTCTCCTATGGTTTCAAAAAGCACCTTCGTAACAAAATCTCACAATCTGCTGAAGCAGAGAAATGCAAAAATCCAGTGCATTACGTTCAACAGCATCACTCCTAGCATCGGTAGTCTTCGATCCAGATCATGCATCAGGTATGGACTGGAATACCTACGTTGTATGAAAGTTTCGTAGAGCTTCACCACCGACAACACCATAACCCACCAATGAAGGTTACTAAAACCTGGTCAAGGATGTGAGTTCGAGACAAATAACTATCGTTAGACTCATAGCTCATTAGACAGCACGGATGAACTGTTTGATTCAAGATTATAACAGTACTGCATATTTTAGCCATCAAAATAGAATCCATTTGGATTCAGAAGACTACTTTGTGATAAGATCTTGGTGTCCAGATCTTTTCACAGCAAACCATTGAGAATGAAAGCCAATACCAAGCAAGACAGAAGAGCCCCCTGGAGATGCTCATGCTACTGCAAATCGTCAAACTGCTTGCCAGAGCTTCGACAGGAAACCAGTTCACCGTGAGGACCATGTAGGTTATCAGATCAAACCACAGAAGCGATTCTTCCTGATTCTTATGAGCAACGTTTGTGTCGATTGCTGTTACCAGTGACACTGAAACCTCGTGCGAGTTTTGGAAATGAAGGCGATTTTGTGACCTGCACCCATGAAAGCTCGGCTTGCGCATCCAGACGGCAGAATGCTCCTCGAAACTTCCAGAACCTAGATTAGAGTGAAAAACGTGCACAACACGAAAACGAATAATGGATTAGTGACAGGGTCTTCGTAAAATTGATGATGATGAAGAAGACAAAGAGTAGAAATATTGTCTTCTTAAAACTATCTGTCTTTTTATCAGTAAAGGCTCATGTTAACATGGCTTCAATGAAAGGAAAGTAGTGTGAGAGGGAAATTTAGTATTGAGACTCTAATGGTAGTGAATATTTCAAGTTGAGTTCTATTGATTGTCATACTTTCAAACTAATGGTATGTGTGTGTGTGTATATATATATATATATATATATATATACTAGGAAACCTATTTAGCAAGCTAAATGATTGTATAATGATTGCAATAACCTTAAATCACTGATATTTATATCTAATAGAGATGTTTTTGCAATGAAAATGTATGATAAAAAAAAGTTATCAAAAAGTATCACAATCTTTAAAAGTTTTACAATATTTTTTTGGTTGTCAATAAAGGTTTTATTATAATTTAAAATGATTGATAAAAACATACAAACAAATCAAATTTATTGTATCAATTTATTAATATTTTTACATGAATTTATTTTGAAAAAAAAATTGTTGGAAAAATCCAAATTCATCCATAATATATATATATATATATATATATATATATAGATAGATAGATAGATAGAAGTTGTGTTAAATAAAAAGAGCATGATAGATAAAATTATACAAGTTTCTGAATTGTATATGTGTGTTGGAAATTGATTAAAAAATATTTGTTATTCATCTCTAAATATATATATATATACAAAGTAGATAATTTTAGAGTTTTAAAAACTTGCTTTAGTATTTTGCAATTCTTATTTGTAGCATGTGTACCATCAACTCCTAACCAATTTAAACTCTAATAGATCTTAAGTTTATATATATATATATATATATATATATATATTGTAGAATACATTTTATCAATCCAATGATCTTTTTTATCCCAATAGGTTAAACCAAGTATAAAAGTGCTCTAGATGGGGACTGCAAATAAGGACGGAAGACAGTAGATAAGGAGATGGGAGACAAGAGACAAAGGGGTACAAGAATGGGAGACAGTTCAAGGTGAGGTAGAACAAATTTTAAACAATTTAAATCTGTAATTATGAACAGTTCTAACAACCTTAGAAAATTGTTTATTTTGTAGACAGATAGACAAACTGATGCCATTTTTTTATATAGGTAGATAAGTGCGTATATATATATATATATATATATTTATAATTCTTAATAATAAGAATTAACATAATGTATTTTAATAATATGTTTTTAAAATATTAGGTGATATTTTTGCAAGCTTTTGTAAAATTTTTATTTTATAAAAAAGAATTTTAAAAATAATATTTAATTAAAAATACTTATGAAAAAATAAAATTGTGAAAACACCTTAATTTAAAAAATAGTTTATCTACATCAGAATTAAAATTATATAATTCAACTCCTACTCTTTCTGCATATTAAACCAATAATCTTTTAATATAAAAATTAAATTACAATTTTTTAATATTTTATATAATATAATGTTTTTAATAAGTTATAAAAACTTATATTAATACAATTTTATTTATATAACAGCCAAGAACCAATATTTGCATTGGAGTTGGTCGTATACAGGGGAGTATGCCGGCTCGAGGAGCTCGTCGCCAATGGAGATACGAGACCTGAACCCAGAACGGTACACGCTCAGCTGTTAGGATTGCAGCGCGCTGGGAAGGGCTCGATCAACACCAGCTCGATCCTGGTTGCAGCGACTGAGGAGCTCGTTGTTGGCCTCACAATCCAGGAGTAAGCCAAGTATCTTTGTTGCTCAGGCCCCAGATGCTTACTTCGGAGACATTTCATAGCGGCGAAGGAAACAAGTAAGCCTTGTGATATGGTGGCAGGTGGTTTGCAGCCCAGTTGTTGCGAACCCACATGCCTTCTCAGATCAAGACCACTTCATATCCGAAGAAATCTCCGTTTCCGAACTTCTGCCATCATGGATTCAAGCTTCTGTCTGTTACAATGCGGGATCTCTTGCTTCCACCGAAGTCTTGACCCTTAAGCTTGACTGGACAGACCCACGAACTTCATGCCATTCTGTGTAGTGTGTCCCTGATTAGAATCTTTACATGGGTAGGGGGACCTTCAACTACAGTCATGAATTGCACATATCATGCTCGGACATTTATGAAAGTGGTGGAGGCTCTGACAGGTTAGATCGTTGGTGACGAATCCTTCGCATGAGTCCTTCAGAGCGCTAAAATCTTTTGATTCCGCTCCATCAGGAATATTGATTTTCCGCAGCTGGTTTGCTTCTGCGTCGCTCTGCAATTCAATCTTCACGACGATGAAACTCTTCGGAGAGTCTCGTATCTCCGACCCTCAGTATGAATCGTGTTCTGGTATTGGGAGGAGCGGCTAATTCACATCTCCATTGGTGGGTAGGCCGATGAAGATGCACACATTGCTGCGCATAAGGCAGGAATGCTAGTATAATTATTTACTCGTCGTGCATGGGTCTCATCCGAAGGTAAGTGACACCAGCTAAACGGTCCACGTGTTACTTGCCCCTTGGTGACACACTCATAGTGTTGAGGGTGTTAAAGGAAACGACCCAAGTTGACCTAAATTCTGTCTGCTTGAATCTCGTGAGCTTGCTTGGATCTCCTTCGTTTCCTCGGTTCTTCTTCAAGGTGTAGGAGTTGTGTGGCTGGTCACTGTTGGACTCTTTCTCTCTCTCTTTCTCTCTCTCTCTCTCTCTATCTCTGTTGCAAACCCACACCTACGGCTGTCCGGGGACCTCCGAAGCCTGCCAAGAGAAGCCATGGAAAAGCAAACAGCAGAAGCAATTGCGAAGAAGGGTCTCGCCTTCATCAAGAGTGCTGCGAAGACTGGAGCGGCGGCCTTCTCGCAAGGCGTTGCTACCGTGAGGAAGGGCTACGCGACAAAGCATGAGGCCGACGTGCTCTCTGACCTGAAATCACAGGGTCTGCACCCTGCCGAGCATCTTCATGCAGGTTTTATTAATTTCAACCTAAGGTTTATGATTATTACAAATATTATTTTTAAGAAGATTCTTTCACTGCTTAGCAGTATGTTTTCTACTTTCAGCATACATGTTTTAATGCTTTGTCACATTATGCCTTTTTTTTAATTCCAAGCGAAACTGTTGTTTAGAGCATCCTTTGACGCGTCACAGTTATGAATGTTACATCACTGTATCAGTTTAATTCTAAGGGAACACATGATAATGCATGTTGACACGCACACTTATTCCATCGGCACTCAACTACAAAGCCGTAGTATTATGTTTAAAAGTATTGAAAGGTGGCGATGTTCATGGAGAATTCTATTAACGGCTTGATGGAATACACGCTAGATGAAATGACGGACTTTCAGTGTCGATTTTACTTGCTATTTGTGATAGAAGAGACTGATTATGTAAGAGACCACTTGAATTTCTGGACATTATCTGTTGTTCCAATTACACTTCTTTTGTGATGTCATGTCCCAACGTTTCAGCATTGCGGAAGCTCAATTACTTATATCTGTCGGGTTATAAACATGAGTTGCAAGCCGTCGCCCAGCAAGCTGCAAAGAGACTGGTTTGTTCGTTTGCTTTAGCCTTTTGTTCTTAGAAATTCACTGGAGAATCAGATGCATTCAGTTAAAATTCACCCTGCACCACAAATCGTACTAACAGTGAAAGTGCAGACCGATCCGGAGCGCAGCACTGTCCCGCTGGATTCCCTGCTGTGTATGAGCTCAGCAATATGCGAGGAATCGCTCAAACATGGCGATTTTAACCAGGGAAAGTTATTTCAAGGCTTTCAAGACTTCTTGAACAAAGCAAAGATGGGCAGTAACCACTTTGATCGTGACAAATTAAGCCATGATTTATACTACTCCACCCTATATATTGTAGAGGTTGGCACCCTAATTGCTTGATATTTGCTTGAAGGTCGTTTTTACCATCTCCAAAATGTCTCATTCACAACCCCCGTGATTGTCATTCTTTGAAATCTGAAATTGTTCAGAGAGGGACGAGCAGTATAAATGTGACTTTGTAAATAATTTTCTTGTTAATGTGCTGATATATCTTGACAGGAGTGTCTTGATTGACCACTTAACTGTGAACTTGAAGTGTGCTCTACTCGTAGGAGTATGAAGGCGCTTTGCCTGAGATGGACAAAATTTGCCGGGAAGTAATTTCACATGTCATTACAACAGCTCCCACTCCGGACGTTACATCCTTGCCTGTATCAAAAGACCCCACCGATTCCCCACAGTAAGGAACTCCAGCTTCACCTGCCAAAGGCTCCAATCGCTGGATCTGTGCTGATTCTACCCACAACACAACCACGTTCATGAACTGGCGGGTCATGAGGGTTTCAATTGCTTCGAGGAGGATGTGCCTTATTTACTACTGCATCATCATGGCATTCAATTAGTTTTGCACACCTAGCCATTCTAACACATGATGCCGAATGGTGAGGATATTTGATGAGCATTTGAGTAGACTTCTGCATGTTAGATAGGTAAGTATATTCCGGCCATCATCCAAGTTGGTGTTTTACAAGTAGAAACTTCCATGCCTTTGTTACGTCATTTTCGTGCTAAATAGCTTCTTTAACTCCTGAATTGTACAGTACTTGTATGTACGCAATCCTCTCAAGCATTACTGCACTGCATGATTCTCAATTTCACTTGTAACGTGGCAAGTTGAATGAAGAGGCCATTACTTCAGAGTGGCAGCCTTGTGATGCACGAGACAGTTGCAGGTAAATTTCACAAGTATTGACAGTGGTGTCGGTGTGTTGCTTGTGCACATGTAGATATAATGCTGCAAAATCGTGTTTCTATTATTTTATGGCATTAAATAGAGCAGCTCAAGAGCTGGACGATAAGAGAATGAAAGCTCTTCGTGAAGCAGAGGCTCTGGTTCAAAGAGAGCAGGAAAAGTGTAAGCACCATATAATTATTTTTCTTTCCGTGCAAGAATATACGGAACGCATGCGTAAGGAAAGGTTCAATTTGAACAGAGGGGTTAGTATCCCTTATTCCTGTCTACGATATCAGCATTCTCAAACAGATCATAATTCTTGCTCCGTTGTAATCTTCGAGAGGTTGATGCGTAGTCCTTCAAAGAAAGCTGATGATATGCCATGTGGATTGTGATTTTCCAGTTACACAATCGTCGCAGAGGCCTTCCCCACAAGCGTAACCACATAGCAGAAACTTGATTTGTTTGTGGTAAGTCTCTTGACCAACACTATATTCGTACCAGGTTCTGTTCCGTCACACTTATGAAATACACGATACAACCTAAGACTGAAAGTTGTGTACGTGGAGACCTGAGTTATTTATTGGTTACTTGTCAGATCTGCAGAGACACACACACACACACACATATATATATATATATATATATATATACTTGTGCAACAATCTGAGAACATTATCTTAGTTTGCGGTGTTCGAATTCGTATAGGGTTTGTAACAGGTCATTCCTTTGCAGCATGAAACATGATTCAGTTCTTTCTCCAATCACTTCTGAAAGAGATGAAAGAACTCCTGGACACCATGCAGAAATTTCAATGTGTAACTGAAAATGATGTGAGAGGATTATCTGCAGATCCAAACTCGCAAACCTCAGATATACTTTCCATAGATTGAGACGAAACGGCTTGTCAAAGAACAGGAACCAGAAGTGGAGAAATTTGAGATGAGATAGTGCAACAGAAATTGTTGGAAGCAGGAGAGATGACTTGGTGAATCGAACTTGTGGGTGCACCTCTAATTTGACCAAGGGTGTTGAAATCACTCTACTGGGATGTCCATCGAGGTGTGAATTCTTCAACAAGAGTATTTATGTTGTCTCCCAACTTTGGAGGACATGAATGCAGAGCTGCAAAAGAGGCACAAAAATGCACTTGGCTTTATGAAACAATATATATACCAACTCAAGGTGCTGTGGGCATGTCAAGATATTGCAATATTACTGCTGATATCTTCACTTTACATGAATGAGAGGTGCACTGGACTAAGCTCATTGTCCGTCCTCATTTTGTTGTTGGATATCTATAACACAATGCAGGGGTTACATAAAGATAGATCGGTACATAGATAGAAATGTATTGACTCTATATTACATTTCTAAACAATTCTCTTTTGTAGAATAAAATTACAATATTTTAATTAACAAAATGATGCCATGTATGTAATATTCATCCAGAACTTTATTTCTTAGTTCATCAGGCCAGTCCTCCAAAATACTTGCCTGGTTTTAAATGGGTTAGAGCTCCGAATTCATGGTTGCTCTAGAATCCCAAGACAACATGAGGGGGCACTGCTGTATGTAACGTTTCATAAAGTTACTGCACTTTTTTAAATAATTAGAATCTGATGTTTGCAAATGTCCATGTAAAATTATTTCAACTTTTATTTGAAGTTTAATGCACATAATCTTTGTGAATGGTTGGGTGTGCATCAAAACATGTCCATATCTAGTGAGACTGAATGATGACAATAATGGAATTAAATGGATGGTCATTATATTGTGTGAAAGGATTGATTGAAAAGTAAATGAATATTGTGTAGACTGAATATAAATCAGAGAGAATCATCCATTATTTTCAATTTTGATTAAAATTCTTGTTTAATACATTATTTTAGGTTCCATCAAATTAAATTAAATTTTAAAAAATTAGATTTAACACAAATCTAAATGATTTTGTTGTTGAATTATTGTAAAATTAAAACCTCAATTTTACAAAAGTTTCAAGTTATGTTTATTATTGCTTAAGATAAATAAACTAAAATGTAAATTTTTCACATTTGATATTATTATTCATTGCTGGATTAAAATAAAAAGTTTTTATTCTGTTATAAGACATCTATAAGTTCTAAAAAATATCATTTTATAAACTTTTAATCTTATTATGTAAGAAATGCATTCTTAATATTATCCATCAAATTCTTAAATAAATTCTAATTATCCTACTAATAAAAACTACTAAATCTGTAAAACAATAAAATTTAAATTATTATGTATATATATATACATAATAATTTAAATTTTATTTTATATATATATATATATATATATCATAAAAAAATAATTTCATAGATGATTTTGTAATTTAATTATAATAAAAATCATTTCTACAAATTTTATATGTACTTTGTTAAAAAAAAAGAATTAGATTTTTTTCATAAAGATATTTAAAACTTTGATATGCCTAAATAAATATATATATATATATATATATATATATATATATATATATATATGATAGAATATAATTTTATATTATGTGTTTTGATTGATTTTCTAAAGAATTATAAAAGTAACCATGCAATATTCCTTTAATTTGTCTTTAAAGATAATTGAAGTTATAAAAAATTGCACCAAAGCTTTTTAAAAAAAATATTAAATCAAACCTTTTAAGAGTAAAAAAATACTAAAATATCTAATTTATAGATAAATAAGATAACATTATCACATGATATATATTATGGTAGAATTTCTAAAACTTGAGAAATGTAGATATGTCAATTGTGTGCCATTATTAAAAAAGAAATAATAAAAGTTGAACCTTATATTTTTTTGGCACAAATAAAAAGAATTCTATTGCAAAGAACCATCATAAATTGTCTAAACTAAATAGGACTCAGAATCTTAGCTAAACAACAATTTAGTCGATAGATCAATACAACTAATATACAATCCATCCTTATTAGGAAATTAAACTATTTAATAATTTGTAATTAATCAAGGCCATCTTATAGTTCTATCTTATCTAGTATAAATAATACCATTATTTCTTCAATTAAAATCAAATTTTGTAAGATTTGATTAATACATCTTCTAAGTTTTTAAGTAAGAATTTATTCTACTTAATTCTTACATAATTAGTTAAATCTTATCAAATTTGGTTTGTGGTTCTTTTTGTTGGCCAATCCTCTCTTTTGAAGGCATGGTCATTTCTTTTGAGCAATATTTATTAGAATATAATTTTGCATAGAAGGAATTAAAATGTATGAAATTTGTTGAATCTCTTAGGTAGATTTCGTGCAAAAATATATTCTATCTATTGAAACTTAAGAAGGATCAATAGAATGTTTGGCTTACTTTGAAAGGTGTAGATGATCTTTAAGCTCCAATTTTACATTCTTTATGCCCTTAGGTATGTCCAAAGTTTGTATAAGAATATTTCATCTTTTTCAAAGGAAAAGAAGACATTCTATAGACAAACAGAGAAGGGACTCAGAGATAGTTCCTAAGATGAAGCTTGATTTGTATTACAGCATTTTAGATCCTACTTAGACTTGTATAAAGTATCATAGTGATAATTAGAAGACCTAATTGACAATGAGTCTCCGCAATACCAATGAGAATTTGGTAGAATATAAAAAAGTGAGTTTCTTTTGGATCTTTACAACTACAAACTTGTTAATGTCTAGAATATTGATAAATAGGCCAAAAGAGGTGTGAGGAAATTTGACAATTTAACCTTCTAATATCCATACTCAATTGAATTGTGTGATCTAAGCAAAAAGAGAGTTGTGGTTTTCTATCCAATAGACACTAGATTTGTCTCAATTTATTAAGAATTTCAATAGAATAGAAAATATATCAAACATTGAGACAATGCGTTATACCCATATTTGATGTGCACTAATTATGAAAGATGTATCATTGACATATTAAAGTATGAATTACTATACTCTAAAACTAAAGAGTTGGACACCTTTAATTGCACGTCATTTACAACAAAAAAATAAGTATAATGCAATCATATTTTAACATGCATTGTATGAACAAAGTGGTGGTATGATGGCCATTAACATTGATATCTACCTTTGCTTCCTTCAAGATTAATATTATCATATTCATAAAGATTTTAGAGAATTCCATCTTGTGCATTGTATTGAGAAGGAAATTCTAGTTGAGTCAATTGTACATTTTGGATAAATCTAATTTCATAGAAATAGATTCTTGTTTTGATTTTTTGGCCCATGCTAAGGTTTTTTGAGTAAAAAATATATTTTCAAGTATAGATTGGTGCTATAGAAATGTACTTCGGTAAATTTTTTTAATAGTGGTCATTTAGCTTGCATCACTAACTACACAAAACAAATAACAATTCAATATTCTTTTATATTTTTTGCAAGAATTATTGGACAAAATTAAATAGAATAAAATATATATATATATATATATATATATATAGATTACATTATAAGACCATTTACTAATGGGATGGTCATATGATGTACTAGAACAAGTACAACTTATTACTCTGAGAACCAATAATGATTCAAAAAATGTGAAGATTAATGTCAATAGCTCAAATGAATTAAAAAAAAAAAAAAAAAAAAAAAAAAAAAACATTGATCAGTCTATTCCACGAATTTAAAGACATATTTGCATAGTCACATGAAGACCTCAAAGATATATCGATATGAATAGCAAAATACATAATTGATAAGAATTAAATAATATTTTTAATAGAATAGAAACCATTTCAATTCAAAAAAATACTTTTTGGAGCAAAAAATGTGCCAGTGATCTTCTAATGTGTAATAGAATTAATATTTTTTCCATTCTTGAAAAAATCCTTTCAAATAATTTTAGATGACAAAATTCTTGTTAATTACATAGAAAACTTACAAAGAATATTTCAAGCTTACCAAAACAATAATATCAGCTTAACACTAATAAATATATGTTCTTGTTCTTTGTAGAAGTGATACTTTGGTATATTGTGTACAAACAAAGAAAGTTATCCAATCCCAAGAAAGATTTAGAACATCCTAGAAATGATGCTACCAAAAGACAAAAAAACATTTAGCAATTTTTTGAAATAATCTAATTCAATCAAATTTATATTAAGAAATTTACACATATTATTTTTTCAATTAATGTATTAAATCAAGCAGATTATAACTACAAAAAATATTAAATACAAGCAATTCAATAAGCCTTCAACATAATAAAGTAGGTACATTTGAATACATTAATATTATTAGCATTAAATTGAACACTAATATTTCATGTATATATAAATGCCTTAAATATTTTTGTAGAAGTAATATTAACTCAAAATTTCTCAAATAAAGGCAATCAACTTTACACATCAAGATAAAGCTCCAATCTATCTATTTTTGCCAATTGGCTTGTTTATATAATGAAAGTTAGATTTTGTTAGTCCAATTAAGCCAACTATATATCAAGGATACAAATGAATCTTAGTAGCTATTGATTATATGACAAAATTAGTCAAAGAAATAGCTACATATACCAATTTGATAATTATAATAATTATATTTATTTATGAATAGATTATTATTTATTTTGACTATCCTCTCAAAATTGTATTGAATTAATGTATACATTTTGTTAAACAAGTTATTAAAGAGTTGGTACAAAAATATATCATCAAATATTAAACATCTATTTTTTATTATCCACAAGGCAACAAACTTATAGAATTAAGTAACAAAACCTTATTAATAATGTTACAAAAATTTATTGCAGATAATCAAATTAATTGAGATATTTATTTAACTATTGTTTTGTCAGTGTATTGTGTGGCATATAAAGATGCGATCAAGTATACTTCATTTAAATTAATATACAACACATAACCTCTACTTTTGACAAAATATATTACCTCAACATTCTAGACACTAATATCCAAAGATTATATACTATAAAAGATTTTAGCAACTTGACTTGTGAATATCCATTATATAAAAGAATTAAGAAAAAAGGTAAAATCTAATATAATTGATGGCTAAATAAAAATAGTAGTATATTATTAGTCAAATCAGCCAATGCATGTATTCTACAAGAAAGATGAAATTTTATAGTGTCCTTAGGATTCTAAAATCTACACTAATAAGTTTCACTCAATATACCATGGCTTTGATAATGTATAATTGGTTTTATCCAATAACATTGTTCTATTGATAAATAACAAACATTACAATCTACATGCCATAACTATAAATGTGACTAAATTAAAATATTATTACTAAGAAGATTCAAATATAGTTGTCAATAAAATGCCTCTCTAAAAATATTTCAATAGAACAACTCTTTAAACAAAGAAGTGATACATGCATCTAATGAAAATCTGGCATTGAGTGCAATTTATTGATTCAAAATAGTATCAAATGTTTTGCTAATTACTTTTTAATCCATCTACATTGAGTTGGTTTTGCCATCATAACCAACAATCATTACTAATAAAATACCAACACCTCTATCTTTAGCTTAATTTGGATATATTAAAATCTACTTAAAGATCCCTATCAATATCTTATTGCCACAATTATTGTCTATAATAAGTGAATCAAACACATCTACAAGGAGTCATTACAATCTCAAGAACCAAAATTAATATAAGAAATAATGTCCCAAATTAATGGCTATTTGTTTGCCATTTTTTACTTATATTTCCAACT